TAACTTATGGTAGGCTCCAAACTCCTCAGTGGGGACGTACAATCAGCTGATGATGATGATATACTGACACAAAGTAAATACATATATTGATAACATTAAAACTTCGTATTATTTCATACAATGTTATTTTACACTTGAATGATTCGTTTTCGAAAACCAAACGGATATTGGGTCAAATCGATTTTATAAAAAAAACGAAATAGAAGGATTTATAATTGACGATTTCTGTTTGTTTTTGTGACTTTAATAACGGCCTGCTGATGGATGAACGTTTTAACGGTTGCATCGTTTAGAGATACTGTTATGTTCGAATTTTATAAATGAACTCAAAAATAAAACTTCAATACAAGATTCTTACCTAATTTTTACTAAGATGACTTGATTACAAAACGGAATAATTGTTTTGAAACAATTTTTAGTTAAATTGTTTGAACTAAATCTACGAAGGTAAATTTTGTCACCAATAGCTAAATATGTGATGAAAATTACTGTGTGACATCAGGCGTAAGATATCATCTCTGTTTGTGTAATGAAAATTGAACCTAAATTAATCATACTCAGGAATATTACTACAAATTTTAGCCGATATTTCAAACTAAGGAATCTTGTGGTAAGGCTCACTTAAATCAGGCGAACTACTAGCAACTATTGCAAATGAAATAAGACAAATATAAATAATAACTGTTTATTTATCATCTCCAGAAGTCAACGGCTAGCACGCGCGACGTCGCAACGTGTAATTAATAGACAAAACAGTGTTCACAGTCCGCCATCTTGCCACCAACTGGCGGGTAATTTTCGAAACCTCAAAGCAACATATGGTAGCAGCAGACGCCGTACCAACTGTTGCATTTCACCTCCCTCTCTAATATACCATAAAACTATACGATAGACAAAGAAAGATATACAATTCATTAGTCGGTAGTGTTTGTTGAATTGCAAAAACGGTCGCATGCGCCGCTGACACGTGCGGCCTAAGGAAGTGGGGTAGGCTTTGACGCGAATTTCGGGAACAATCCCCGAATATCGATAATTCGAATTTGAACAGGATATTGGGTGTTCTTTAGACGAGTGGAGACAGCATATGTGATGATCGTAATACGTTAAGTTAGAGAGTTTACAAATCAACGCGTTTTTACCACATTACAAGTTTTTGTCGTATGTTTTTAGTTGTTTATAGATCCTTTCCATATGTTGTATGTTGTCAGGCTTCTTAATTGTTATTACTTAAATACTTGTTTCATATTTAAAATTATTGAACTTACACCTAGCACCTGTAATAACATGTGTAGATGTATCAAGTTATCAACTTACTTCTACATGTTCGTACATATGGTAAGTCAGGGCTAGTTCAAGTTTATTAACTGTTCGAATTACTACTATATTATATTAGAGACCTATTGAGGTACTCAGAGTACGTTATTGGTCACTTAGGAAGTCCTTATTATAGATGAATCAGAGAAATGTACACCAAGTAACTATTTAAATAACTACATTTATATAATGAATCTTTAAATAAATATTTTTATTCGACAATCATATTTTTTAACCCTGTTACGTTTAATGACAAAATGAAGTTATAATTTTGATACACACATCATGAGGTAAAATTATAATATTAAAAACCGTTTAACCTTTATCCTTGATAATGAAGAAATTAAATCAATTGGTTGTTTCCACCCTGTACGAAAATAAGGGTTAAAACAAACAAAAACCATCATCAAAAGATTAAAGTGCCGACTATGTAAACTAATAATTTACATAAATAAGCGTTAAGTAAGTATAAGTTAGCTAAACTTTAACCCTTCGATAATTTGCTAACCATCCCTTATAACACATTTTTAACTATTATAGATAAACATATCTAAATTCGATGGCGTTGATATTTTAATATAGGGGAAATAAACATGAGGACAAATATTGACATTATGGAAATCTTAGCTTTTTTTTTTATAGTCAGGAAATGCATTTACGCACGCCTACGCCGGGCGGTGCAATGGCGTAGGGAGTGTGGGACTCGCCGGCCACAGAAGGTGACCAGAATACCCACTAAAACCTGACTGCCCTCTGACGCAATATGGCGGGCGCCACGGGAACGCTTTCGCTTACTTCCGTGGGCATGGAAATCTTAGCTGCCGCAACTTCTAATTTACATGCGTACTTGTAGTAATTATTATAAAACGTAAATATCTTAGAAATATAACTGATTTTATTAACATTTGATCTTTAAATCTTAACCAATCTTAGTCAACCAAGCTGACCCAGTGCGGCTTAACTTCACACATATCTTGATCAGATGATATGGGAAGGTCGCGTCACAATGTTTTCCTTCACCGTAAGGACGTTGATAAATCTACATATAAAACACAGGACATGCAGATTACTAATGCTTAACCCTTGAGCCACCGTCGCCATGCCCCACATGCCGCCTTCACTACATGACACATAGAAAACTTACTTTATGCTTAGGTATAGGTAGCACCATATCGTATCAGTTACCATCAAAAGTCCGAATCATTTCGTTAGTGATTTAAAAAAAAACTTTGACAGCTATCAAAGTTATGGCAGAATGTAGTCCTAATGTTAAACGGCGTCCATTTTTTTGCTCACCGAACCACTTAACCCGTTACAATGGACGCAATCCCGAATAAAGTCATTTGGACAGTAAAATCCGTTGTTTGTTTAGCATTAAATATTATAATGGGAGTCCGAACGAGCCCTCGTCGGCAAATAAAGGGTTGACTTTTGAATTTATTGGCCCAACATATGGATGTTTTTTTTATATTTTATCAAATATTTGGCTATGACGTTTGGTAAAGTTTGGAAATCTATTTCAAAAACGTTGTAATATAGTTTCTTATTTTTATATCCCTACCTATTATATTAAATTTCAGAAATTATATGTATTATATATACCATCATGTACTTCCCTTCTTGAATTAAAATTAAAAAGTCCGTCCTTTCTAACATACAGTTGATTTTCAAGTAAAAAGAAAAATTAACTTTCAAAGTTTTTCGCAAAATCAATTAAAATCTCAGCTTATCTTTGACCTAAATCAAATTCGGTAGATCTATATAAAAAATGTATCACATTCCGTACGTCACAGCGTGCGGCGTGCGGCATCCCCCGCGGTGTGGTCAGTGACTACCGCGGCGTGCGGTGTGAACGTAAACAAAAACATTGATTGATACATACAAAAAAGTTGCGAATTCCACACAATACTTGCGATTTTTCACGCCTACTTTTATTGGGACATGATGGCTGTCAACGTAATTTTTTTCATCTACAAAAAAAGAACACGGTTTTGTTTCGGTAGTCGAAACTGACGGTAAGGTAAAACATACTACATGAGCAGCCGATTAGAAAAAAGTAGTTAAATATACAAGCTATAAGCAAGTGACACAGATTACTTATTATAAATCTTATTAATATTATAAATGCGAAAGTTTAGATAGATGGATGTTGTTGAAGGTATATATCCGGAACGTCTGAACTGATCTCGCTGAAATTGGCATAGATGTACAACGTAGTCTGAAAGAATACATAGGCTACTTATTAAGTTATTTTTTAATTTAGCGCGGGCGAAGTCGCGGGCGACAGCCGGTCTTTATAAAGGTGTTAACACACTTTCATATGTGAGTAATGCAAAAGCCCATTTTAGTAATATACCAGTAAATACAGCATACGATCACACTAGTCAAGTGCTACCTTTATCCATTTCCTGATTAAGTCATCTGGTTGCATTTGATGATATTAAATAAGTATGTAATTTTGTCGATCATTTCAACAATTGCGTTCATTCATTCACCTCGTTTGTGATATTAATAATGACATTTTTATGTCTTTACATCTGTACTTAAATTATGTTTACATTTCGCCAGGAAATGCTTTTAAGGCTAATATGAGCCATATCTTGACTTTGAGAAATTCTTAGCATTTAAATTATTTTATAGTCAAAAACGGCACACGAGCAACCGGCATTGCTTAAATTGACTTACATAGCAAACCTCTGGCCATAGATAACCTCAATTGTCATTATTAGGTTTTTTATCAAAGTTAATTAAGGTAATTATTGACACGAAAACGTATCAATTAATTACAAAAAAGATACTTTATCTAACACCGACAGAACAACAAAACATAAAAACTTACCGAATCAATGACAATAAATTTTTTTTCACACTGGCAACCGCGAATAATAAACCGACGGGACGTCTACATTCTAAATTCGAATCGAATCCAGACAATGGCGTCCAACAGTTCGCGCCTTTTTACAACGACCACACAAAGAATGACAGACAGAGAAATAAATGTTAATTTCTACAAAAAAAAATATTCTATATTCAAACTTGATACGGGCTACCGAATTAACAAATTATTTGTGTCCATGGGCTTTAAGAAATTGATAATTAACAGTCCATCGAAGGACGTCAGTCACGGTACAATTCCTTGTGATTTTAGAATGCGTTCCTTTAAAATAGATCAGAAATCGAAATCTATAATTCGATTTATTTGTACCCTATTTTATTTTGTAACTAAATTGTGCTTTCCATTCATACGATACTGAGATACAGTACATAAAAAATTACACAAATTTTGTGACTTTGGATTGGAACGTTGAAACCAGTTCGCTAAAATACAATTAAACGAGCTTATCCCGAAGAAGTAATCCCGAAGGTCATCGAAGTCGAGGGAGACGGATAGACGGCGTAAATAAGGACGCAAAAAAGTGGGTATAGCAAATTGGAAGTCCGTGGTCAGAGATAGACCGAGGTGGAAAAAGTTGTTTGACCAAGGCAAGGCCCACAAAGGGCTGTAGAGTTAGAAGAAGAAGAAGAAGAAACGAGCTTATCAAAACATGGCTTGGGATATGCTAAATATGTTTTATTTGTATGCCACCAATTTTAGCACCAGATCTTAAAAACTAAAAACTTAAAAATCACTTCAGAAGCCATTAATTATTAAGAACAAGATACTTCAAGAAAACGATGACATTTATGTGTCAATCAAACCTGTCAAAAACTATAAACCAAGTTCAATTAATAAATAAAATGCTACAAAAATAAAACCCGCGTATGCAAAACACACTGGTGTAAATTAAGAATTAAACATGAACCCGAATAAATAAAAATAGATAATAAATACAATAAAAAGGTGAGAAACATTTCTTTCAAGCATAAATACTGGAAACGCCAAAGTTTGCCATAATTCTCTAGCGATTGTAATGTACTACAAATCAATCTTTACTTTAATTATAAATATTCATAAACCTTTTGTATGTGTAATTGATTTATGATGACTTTTATTTTGCCAGCATTGTTAACAATGAAATAATGCACCAGCCCCAACGGGGATATAGCTCAGTGGTAGAGCATTCGACTGCAGATCGAGAGGTCCCCGGTTCAAACCCGGGTGTCCCCTAACTATTTTTGGCAATTATATTAAGAAAAGTAATATATAGTTCTACCATTAAGTGGTTTTCTCTCTTTTAGTAGTAACAAAAGGTTCTAAATGATGGCCAACTTAAGAACGGGGACGACGTTTATCATGCGACAAGAATTACCTAAAGAAAGTCCCACACCACCGAAGCCCGAACCCGCCCCAGACGATGCAGAGAAGACCTCTGTTGAGACACCAGACAGCGAAAATGTTGAGTTTTATTTATTTTGTGTGAATTTTTAAATTACAAATTCAAAATTGAAACACATAGCCATCAATATTTTTATCTCATTTGCAGACAAACTCGTCGTACTTCTCCGCGGACGGCAGCTTGCTGAGTCGCGAGGTAGACTGCTGGATACAAGGCTGGGAGGCCGACCCCAACATCAGCGTTAATGCAAAGCGAAGGTATATTTTTAGAAGTAATATAACTAGAAAGAAGACATTTACTACCGATGAAACGGCGCAGTGACATCTATCAGATATCTCCTTTCACTCTCTCTCTCTCTCTGTGCTTCAGATCTCAAGTCTCCGCATTAGTACAAGATAAATAGATAACTTATAACTTGTGTTTTCTTGTTTTCGTAAACTAATGTTAAAATATACAGAGTGCCCACGGTCCAGCGGTCAACTCTGACCACTCACGACAGTCTGTACTCGTCAAGACTATACTACGCCTTGGCCATGATGATGCCCGTTTTTCGCTCACAGCAGCGGGCCATTTGGTCTTGTTCACCGAGGTGAGAATTAAATGTGTAAAAATAATAGAGTAAAAATGTTATAATTAATTAAAATATAGCTAACGCCATCTCTCTGCGAAATCGTGATACTGTGACATTGACAAAAGTGTTGAGTGTTGGAATTTCCCCGCTAGATGCCACTGAAATGAAAAACTTATTCGCACCGTGCAATTACCATAAATACTTTATTTAGAAAGAGGTCATTGTTTTTATAATAATTATCGTCTATACCAATTAAGTCACCTTTAAAAATAATTACTTTATTTTAATTATCTATTTTTGTTAAACTTTTTAAATACAAATATAAATATTAAATAACTTTTTTTTTCTTTTATCTGACAATAGATGACACTTTTTCTTATATACAATTTTCAATTTTCAGTATCATGTTAACAACAATGCGATCCGTCTTTGCCTACGTGGCGGAGGCTTACAACAGGATTCGAGGTCAATTTCAACGCCACTTCACGGAACATAATGTCCATGACTTTCTGAGCACAGTTCTAGACGTACTCTTGATTGTATACGCAGTCGGATTTCTTATCATTTCGATGTACGAATCAGCTGTCATGCCATGATATTTAATATTGTTTTAATACTTCCTGTACGTTAAATGTAGTAAACTCTAGATGTATATCTGAAGGAACGATTCATCAACTATTGTCTATTCAATATTAAAATCTCAAACCCAATATTTTATTTAAACTTTAATCGTAACCACTATTATTTCGTTTGTCAAGAGCGAACTTTACAGGCATAGATTTTAATTTACGTTATAAAACCATTGAAAAGCGAATTAATTTTGGTAACAGACAAGCAATTATATACAAAAAAGTGATTAAATCGGCGAATTTGTGAATTTCGATCACAGGTTAACAAATTTTCAGAATGTACAAAGAAGTTAAACGTATTGCTAATTTCTAGAATTTCGCGTGACTGTACGTGGCAGCTTTAGCTGTGTTCTAACATTACTACAATCGGGAATATCTACACTATAATCAATACATAGCTTGTGAACTTACTCAGGTGTTCTTGATATCAATTGCCAAGATAATATATGGCAGCTAATGAATTCAACGTAGCGCTATTAATAATCTTACTAATATTATAAATGCGAATGTTTGAATGGATGGATGTTTGTTAGAAGGTATCTGCAGAACGGTTTAAGCTGAAATTTATCAAAGATAAAGATCATAGTCTGGAAGAACGAGTAGGCTTCGTTTTTCTGAATACCACACGGATGGAGACGCGACCGATAGCTAGATAGTCCCATGCGTTGGAATGATGACCTGTGCACGGGCGTAAGAAAAAAATGTTATGTTTCGTAGCAGAATCTTTAAAGTTCTAGTTCTAAAGTAGGTATGAGCAGATATGCAAGAAATAAACCATATATTCATGTTTTTATTTTTATATTCAGTATTATAAATATAATAAATATTTTATATAAATTCGTTATCAAATAACTCCATGAGTTATCTTTTAAGTATTTCCGGATTAGACAAAGTTTTAAGTGGTCATCATATTACATTTGAGCGCCAGCGTACATACATACAAATAATATTTGCTAAATTCTCATTTTATTTATCTAAAAAGTTTAAAATAAAAAAACCTTGACTTTAATTCGCGGGAAATAGTCTAGAACTAGAATATAACTAGGAACTCTTCATCGTTCTAGAAATATCCTTAATTTAGATCAAGGAACTGTCTGAGAATAATATTGAGTACCATTCCATAAATTCTTTACCATTAAACACAGTTTCATGGAAATATACGATGAAAATTAAATAAACCGAATGAAATCAGACCTTATCACTGTGCTTTAAAGTATATTTTCTAATAAAAACTACTTAAATTTTCTGAAAAATCCTTGCAATACGTTACGGTACCTATTTGTTCAATTGTTTGTCATACAAATGTTACACACAGAGACAGAGCAGAAACTCGACAGAGTAAGGACATATTATGTAAATCACAAATAAGTCAGCATTGAGGTAGGCTTGGTTTTATTTAAAAAGTAGTACATTTACTAAACTTCGGTAGCTCAGGGGTTAAGCACTTCAATTGTAATCTGCAGGTCCTGGGTTCGAATCCCGCTATGTACCAATGTGTTTTTTGTTTTTCGATTTACCCTATGTACATTTATCTGTCGTTCTTACGGTGTAGGAATACATCGTGATGCAACCTGCACAAATATGAGAAGAAATTCAAAGATAAGTGTGAAGTTAACCAACCCGTCGTGGTTGACTAAGGCCTAGTAACCCTAAACTTAGGCTACGTAGGGCAGGCTCAGAGCCTCTCAGTGGGTATATATGTTGAGATGATGCAATAGTTACTCAAGCAGACGCATATTAAATCTACACTAAGGAACTTCTTCAGTGACATTACGTTTCTGAGTTACATGTAAAGTCCGATTATAGTTGCGAACTAAGGTTTTCTATGTTCATTCATATTCTTAAATAATTGTTACATTTACCTAACATTGTAATACTGTTTGCATACCAGTGAAATGTCTATAGTTAGTTTTGAACTCGTGAATGAGTAAAAGTGAGCAAGAGTTTTTGTTTACATTATAGTGTTGCCGACGCAAGTTGGTCCGTGACTCCCCGGTGTTTTGGAGCCAAGTAGTGTTGACACACGTCGCCGAATGCCGACACGCTCCCCGCAGATATTATCAGCTAACAACAAACAAGCCGCTTGTTTGTTGTTAGCCGATGCACTCATTCTTATTAATAATACGCAAAGACTACTTAAACCACGAACTTGATACTTTAAAAGCAAAATAGTAATAATTTGGGTTTTTAATTTTTGGGTAACACATCAATGCATCCTGAATGTATCTTTCCCATGTCATCTACCGGGTGCAATGTTAAATACCTGACAAACAAATCGGCCTAAACGCCCAGAAGTATTTCACTTATTTATTAAGATTAGACTTATTTATAAGAGTCGTTATTATAACCATTAAACATCTAGTGTAGTACTTAGATCTAGACCTAATAATTGCAATAAATGGCCGTTTCATATCTCTTATGCAACCTTAATCGCGTGCACGGGCTTAAAACTATTCTTGTTTTTTAGTAAGTTCGTAGTTTATGTGGTGGTATATATTTTGATGCATTTACAAAAGCTGCGTCACTAGGTGTTGCACGTGAGAGGTAACGTTAGTATTACATAAAGCAGACGCAGTTGTTTGAGCTAATTTTAATCATCTGTTTGTAGTTCGACCAAAATATTATATTCAAGATCAAGACCAAGGCTAAATACAAGTTTAAATACAAACATGACATAAGTAGGTACATAAATTATAGTAATTTAATGAACCGTCGGTTGCTGTTTAGACAGATTTTAATAAAGTTTATATCATTATTAATACATAATTTCAAATTGGACAAGTCCACAGTTTTCTATGTTAGTAGTGAATTTTTATGCAATAGTTTGTGTATTATTTGGATTAGAAAGATTTTGGTACATGATGCGAATAAATTTATCACGAACAAATTCATTTTTATTATATTTTTATTTATACAACTGATTTAAATTGTTATACTTTATTTATAATATATAACGCTAACGTCATAAATGCAGTTCGATAACGGTAGAGGCGGGAACAGATAGCAACTGCACCTAGGAAGTAGTAAAACTAGATTTAGTGGTAAAAGAGCGTTCATATGTCTATAATCAAACCCAATCAACTAATAATAAAAACTTGTAAGGATATTAGCAGTCAGCCTATATATAAATATTAATACTTTTAGTACCATTAATAGGTATTTTATATTGTAGGAAATACGAAATAAGAAAATGAGAAAACACTTTTGTTCGTGACAGTACACGTATCATTATCATAATATATTGTAAGCAAATTTGTAAACACTTTTGAGCGCGCCAGTACACCGCACATCAGGCATGCCGACAGCGATGGACGTCGCAGTCGCAGTGTGCAGAAAGCGCGCGTGGTGCGCGGTACGCCGCAAGATGTTCGCGAACATGTTCGTCGCGCGGATGCTCGCGCTCGTCGCACTAGCCGGCACTGTCACCGCCAGAGCTAAGGTAAATTTTACTAGGAATTTTAAAAAGAGATATGAAATTAATTTAGTTATATTTAATTATTGAGAAAGCTTTAGGTAGTTGGCACTTTGAAATTCAATTTTAAAATTATCGTTCAGATTAATTTAATTAATTTTGAAGAATTAACTAACTTCACAAGGTTTTCTGTTGTTGTAAATGTTTCGTTTAGTTCCGTTTATAAAAGAAGATTCGATAATATTTGCTAATTTTCAAACCTTTAAACCGTTTCTATCTGGATTACTGTAAAATATTTATATTATTGGCTTGTAAATATCGTCGCAATAAAATGACGAAGTTTCATAAAATATGATGTCACAAGGGAAGTACTAAATTTTCTACATTTATATAGCGACTTCCGTTTTCATAATTAAGTATCTTCAACGAACTCACCGATGGATAATATTGACATAATATAAGCAGTATCCACGATAACATAAATAACGTATACACTGTAAATTTGTGGGGTAGGTAGATATTGAGGATTTACATTTAGTCATGGTCCTGGCCTGGCCCTACTGGTCCCTTCTAGTAGAACCTCAATCATAAAGAGTGTACATGTGACTAATTATGCCGCATAAGATAAGAGATATCAGACGACTCTGCTTATTTTCTTTTCTAAAACGAAATCTTTTATTACTAGTTGCGCCCCCAACTTCGTCCACGTGGACTTCCTGAAGTCATTTTATTTATTTATACCGAAACAACAGTCTAAAAATAACAAATGTCATTTTTTACTTAAATATCTTGTAACCAATCCGGCTAAACTCGAAGTTTGCGCTAGGATATACGCGGGAATCGAACTGACGACCGTCATACCCGTAGCCACTAGGCTATAGGCGTCATCATTGGTTGTATTTGTTACAATTTTGTTTATAAGCCGAGCCCTATCAGATTGTAATGTACTGCAGAAGCCCTTCTGTTAAATAAATAACGAGTTATTTAGATCAAGAGCACGTGGTATGAGATAAAACTCTTGTTTGCACATTCCATTACTACAAATTTAAGTTCCTAATACATTTTTAACATGAATTGAACTCTAATTAATTAGGAATAAGCTAGGGTTTAGAGTGAAGATGTTGAATAATTTTTATCTGCTAAGTGAAATTGTATCCGTTGAAAACAATGATGGAACTCGAAGCATGGAACTCGTAATAAAATATCTTCCCATAGAGATTCTGCGGTAGGTTAAATGGATAGCGTTTGGTCCGGGATTCCCCTTAACTTTTAAATTTTCTAGCCAGAAAATTAAAAAGTTCTTGAGTGTTTTATTTCATTTTCGTTTTTTTTTTTTGGAAAATCCAATAAAGAGATTTGGCCCCCTCAACCGCTTTACATTTTAGAATTTGTCTTTTACGTTTTCAAGCAATTTGTACCAAAACAGTTACACCAAAACCTAGTATGTTCTTTGCCATTTTTATACCTTGGTAATTTCATCAACACAAGTGTCACTGTCAGTATTTGTAAGCATTATAAATGTGTTTTAGGACATTCATCACCACAAGTGGATTTATTCTTCTAATCTTCACTGTACCAGCACTAATAAAAGTGTCATCCATCAGTGCATGTTGTTGCAATAAATTATGACAAGTGTACCAAAAGCCTTATCCTCCGCACTGTACCAATAAGGTATCGTCATAAACACA